GTCTAACCAAGTGAGTGTGTGGTTACTTTCTTCTAACACATAAATACGAAGTATTTTATATGAAATACATGTTATGTGTATATTTTGTTGTTATATGTGTGAATGTATATTCACTTTCTTCTACCGCATAGATATGAAGTATTTGCTATGAAGTACGTGCTAGGTGTTTATACGTTGTTTGTTTACTTGAAATAGATGTTGAAATAATGTTTTATACATGTTTTAAAATATTTAAACTGTATATGTGTTTGCATCTACAAATATGTTGGGTAGAACATGGGTAGATGAAATAGTTGATGTGAGACGAAATAATAAGTATTTTTGAACTCAATGTGTTCATTAGGTATTTTTGAACTCTATGTGTTCTCTTGGTGTTTGAACTTAATGTGTTCATTAGGTATTTTTGAACTCTATGTGTTCACTTGGTGTTTGAACTCAATGTGTTCATTAGGTATTTTTGAACTCTATGTGTTCACTTGGTGTTTGAACTCAATGTGTTCATTAGGTATTTTCAAACTCTATGTGTTCACTTGGTATTTTTGGATTCAATGTGTTCATTAAGTATTTTTGAACTAGATGTGTTCACTTGGTGTTGTTGAAGTGAGTGTGTTCACTAAGTGTTTTAGAACTAAGTATTCACCAGATGTTTTGAATGAATTGTTCATTAGGAGTTTTAGAACTAAGTGTTTGTTAAGTATGTTGAACTAAGTGTTTACCAGTCGTAATTTGTGGACCTTGGCAGTGGTGGACTTTGTGTCAATTCCTTAGGTCAATCCTTAGGAATAAATGGATAAATGATAGTTGATTCTTAGGGTAAATCCTTAAGAAATAAAGGAGATAATGGGAATGAGTATTTGGGTTGATTGTTTGATAATTGAATATAATAAATGTATTATTGTGGGTTGAAAACTCTATATGCTCACCAGGCTCCCAAGCCTGATCCAGTCATTTTTCTTTGCATTACAGGTAATGGCACAAGAGTATAAATTGGTGGACTTAACGAGAGATTTTGGATTATAGATCAGTAGTTACAAATAATTGTTGTAAGGTCTATTTTATATTGTTTATGATTTTGGTCTGTATCGGAACATGATACCCCGAGGTTTTATTATTTAATGAAAATACATTCTCTTTGAGAAACGTTTTGATAAATTTTATCATATTTTGTTTAGGGAACAAATTCCGCAACTCTTTTAATCAAAAAGATTTACTCTGATTTTATAAAACAAATCAGTCTTTTCTGGTTGTGAAATTGAGGATGTCACATTTTAAGCATATGAATGTTATGATATGTTTTTAAGGGATGACTTTTGAATGTTTGATCTGATTTTAAATGAAAATTAAGATGTTACTTTATTGGTAAGTCTTTTGGTTCCAATAATGAAGGTTGGGGTTCAAAACCCTCCTAACTCCCTCTCTTTCATTTTTGTTTATATTCCAAAGTCAATCCCAAACTTTTAAGTTTTTGCACTTTTTAACCAAATGTTAAGTTCAGCTCGTTTTTCGTCCATACACTCTTTTTTTTCAAATTTAGCCCATATTTGAGTTTTTTACACATTTTTCCCAAGGGGTTTATCATGTACCTATAATGAAAAAGAACATGATATCGGTTGCTCAATTAGCATCTGTTAGGCATTACGTATTGTTTGGACCAAATGATATGAAGATTTTTAAAGAGTTTAAAACATTATCAACACCGATATTGCAAGGTCGACGACCTGAGTCTATTTATGTCATGTCAATAGAAGAAGAATATGCGTAAAAGATAAAGAAAAATAAAAAATGTTTATTTGTGGAATATATAGATTAGCCGTGTAAGTTGTGAAAAACTTGAATTAGCGATGAAAAAGAAACTGGTTACTGGCCTACCACAATTAGGTGTGGTTTGTTTTTTGTTTGTAAATCTTTTTGTCCTCTTCTTTATGCGCCACACAGACCATACACATATATTATTATTCGTAAACTGTTTGTTTTTTTGAAGACCACACAGCCATGTATGCACGTCCTCTTCTTAGCGCAGATGTGGATCAAAATCTTTTAATTTAACTTCTTCAGACATCTTCTAGCCTAAAAAATCACATATACCTTTTTTTTATTAACTTTTTGATTTATTCAAACTTTTTCCGTGATAAACAATTTGAAAAAAAAAGTTCAACGACACAAACAATACTTCAAGAAAAAAAAAAAGGTTCGACGACACAAACGTTACGTTTGTGAGAAATTTATAAATAAATATTTAATTACAATAATGATCGTTGAAGTTGTTTATACTTTTTGTGTCAAATTTTATAAATTATTATTCAATGTAGTATCATTCATTTCTTGAGAAAAATATTTACGGTTAGTTTTTAATTGATTTAAATGAAAAAAGTAAAAGGAAAATTTTCATATTAAAATTGAAGTTTATTCCATCTATTTTATGTGTTAAATTTTTTGATCAATATTTACAATATTTAGATATAACTTTGCGCCTAAAGCTTGTTGGTTTTTATCAAATATATACGTTAATTCGTACCGTTTTCACTTTTTATACAACAAGACATAAAATTTTATCTAGATTTGTAAATTATCTATAATAAAGTAAAAAACGTATTAAAAATCTCTTTTAAGTTTTAAAAAAAAAATAGTTTATTTAGCTTTTTAGATTATGTTAATAGCCTACAGACGTTATCAAAACAAACAATCTTTTTATTTCAGATTGCAGACGTTTTGTCCACCTCTTCTAAACTTAACTGATAAATCTCATCAACAAACTATTAGAAAAGTCAATTTATCAAGCTAAGTATCCTCTAGAACTTGTACATATGGTGACTTTCATTAATGATTTCTCTCGCTCCGTGTGGGTGTATTTTATAAAGTAGAAGTTTGTGGTTCTAATAATGTTTAAAGGAGTTTAGAGTTGATGTTGAGGGATAAACTAAACATAACATTCAGAGGCTTCGATCAGATAACGGTAGAGAATATTGGACTTTTAACTTTGATGAATATTTTAAAGAAAAACAAAATTGATCGTTGTCCAATTACTCCATAGCAAAACTAGGTTTCAGAGAGGAAGAATCACCACTTAGCTGAAATATCTAGAAGCATGATTCACGACAAAAATATATCATGTCATTTTGGGTTGAGGTGATGAAGAAAACAATATGCGTGATTAAAAGAATCTCTCAACCACCTCAACAGTGATCCAATATGTATCTCCGACCCCTTATGCTCTATTTATGGAGTTTAAAATAGAATAAAACTCTCAGATCCAACTATATTTTTAAATATAATATATATATATATATATATATATATATATATATATATATATATATATATATATATATATATATATATATATATATATATATATATAGTTTTACTTCAAATTTAGAGTAACATTAGTCATGAGTTTCCTTGTTATATTTGATCCTTCAAGTTTGATTTTGTATATTTCAAGTTTATTTAACTTGTTTAATTTTGTGTTTATATATTGTGAGTTTATTAATCATTTTGTTATATTTTAATGTGAGTTGTTTCAAAACAGTCTCATATTTTATCCTTAGAGTTTGATTATATTTATTAAACAATATAAGTTTTAAAGTTATTATAACAAAAAGATTTAGACAAATTTGTAAAAACCTTGTAAATTGAAATGACAGTTTATTGCTTGATCACATATTTTAGTAAGGTTGTTAATTTACTGCTTGATTTTTCTTTGTATTCTAATAAAGTCAAACTTAATCAAACATATATTTTATGTTTATTTTAAGTTCTTTTATACATGTTCTTTATCTTAGAATTTAAAGGCCATACGTATAACACACAAATACACGACTCTTTTTAAGTTCTTTTTATATTCTTTTATTATAGAATTTAAGTTAATTTCTACTTAGAATGTGTTTTTCTAAATAGGTCTGAAATGTTGGATTTCAAACATTTTATGTGATACTGTATCAACTTACCAACTTTCCAAAATGAATCAGTCCGTCACATGTGTGTTTTGGAATCACCATTATTTGGATAAAGTATTTAAAAGAAAAAAAAAAGTTTTTTTTTAAAATTTGATTCAAATATCAAATTATTTACCACTTGTCATATACTCACCGATATATATATATATATATATATATATATATATATATATATATATATATATATATATATATATATATATATATATATATATATATATATATATATATATATATATATATATATCAGCCCCATATAAGCTTAGGTGTGGAACCTATTAAATCACGTTTTTTTGGCCGAACATTATCTAATATCTTACAAGATCACGTAGGTTAATTAAAAAAACATCATCTTCTTCTCACCTCTTAAACCTAAGTACGTTAATTGAAGAAAACATCATTTTTCCCGGCGACCTACAGGTGCATATTACGTATGTTCGTATTCATTCAATTCACGATCAGTGTACACACCTAATTTCATTATATGCAGTTTAAATACCTCACAACCAATCGCCTTTTACACGACGAATTATGGATAAACACATGTTTTACTTGTTTTTAGAATTGCTAATTGATTCCGTTGATTCACTTATTAAAAATCTAAATCAAGTTGGCCAAGACTATATAATAATATATTTAATCGATTTAGTGGCAGAAAGTGGGATTGATCACATGTAATTATAATTTTTAATAAACCTATATTGGGTTTTTGGTTATTACTTTTCAATGGAAGAAATCACAATATTCATTGTTTCTTTGATTGTCTGCTTTACATAATCCTTATGATTAAATTGATATCAATTGTTGCTTTACAAAATCCTTATGAATCAATTGATATCAGTTGTGTAGTTGACGACACATGTGCTCTTTTTATCTTTATTTTCATAAACCATTAAATTAACATATTACTGTGTAATATACTTGCAATCTACATAAACATATAAAGTCTCTTATATTGTCTTTATACTTCTACGGTTAAATATACATAACATGTATCTCAAATCCATTTTAACCAAAATTGTTTCTTTCTTTTTTAATTGTAGAATGACATTGATGTGTGGTTTTTTTGGTATAGGTTACATTCCACATTATGGATTTAGAAATGCAAGTAGCAGATCAGTCATTTGGAAAATAGACAAATGAAGATATTGATGCAAATAATGGTTATTCAGGATCGACATCTGAATCGGAGAAAATAAATAATGATGATGTCAATCTTGGATGTGACGAAGGTGCACGTAATGATCAAAGTATTAGTGAAAAGGTTTTCGATACACCCAATGATGCGTATACATTTTATAATGATTACGCATTTTTACATGGATTTGGTATACGTATTCATTGGAAATTAAAGAATAAGACAGCAAATGAGCATTATCGGAAGACATATGTATGCAACAAAGAAGGTTTCAAATGCTTGAAAGTTAATAATTCAAGTGGAAAAGTGATAAAACGTCGTAGAGAAGTACGAACGGGATGCAAAGTAACGATTCGAATTTCAAAACAGAAGGATGAGAAATGGATTGTGGACAAGTTTAATGGCACACACAATCATGCCTTGAGCTTGACACCACCGAAGGTAATGAAGCATAGATCGCATGGGAAGTTCCACCATACTATGGAATGCAGATCTCTTATGGTGCAATTTGGTCAAGCAGATTTGAAGCCTTCTCAAATTAAAAAGGCTATTAACGCAATGAAAACTTCAGATGAAGCCAATGTTACTTCAAAGTAATGTGTTGATGTCTTATTCGAGCAAAGTATAGGGGAAAGGAGTTTTATGGACTTATAAAGCATTTCCAAGATAAAGCATTAGTGGATAATGACTAGTATTTTGTTGTGGACTTGTGTGATGATGGTTCTCCTAGGAATATATTTTGGGCTGATGGAAGATCAAGAGGCGCATATACTAAGTTTGGAGATGTTGTGTTTGATGTCACTTATATGGCAAACAAATACAAAATGCCATTTGCTCCCTTTGTAGGGGTTAATCATCATCGACAATCTATACTTTTTGGTGGAGCATTGTTAGAAAACGAAAAAGAAGAAACATTTGTATGGTTATTCGAGAATTTCCTAAAGTGTATGTTTAGCAAGTGTGACATCCCCAATTTCACGGCCAGAAAAGACCGATTTGTTTACGCTTTGTTTTTAAAATCAGAGTGATTTTTTAAAGAAAACAGTTGCGGAATTTGTTCCCAAAATATGATAAAGATTTATCAAAGCATTTCTTTAAAGAAATGTATTTTCATTTTATAACAAAATCTCGGGATGTCATGTTCAATACAGACCAAAAGCATAAACATAATAAAATAAACCTTACAACAGTTATTCATAACTACTGGCCTATAATCCAAAATCTCTCGTTATGTCAGCCAACTTATGCTCTCGTGCCATAACCTGTAATACAAAGAAAACTGAGAGGGTCAGGCTTGAGTGCCTGGTGAGTATATAGGGTTTTCAACCCACAATAATATAATTATTATATTTAATTATCAAACAATCAATCCAATTACCCACCCCTTTATCTCCATTTATTTCTTAAATATTTACCCTAAGAACCAATTACCCTTCTCCCATTCATTCCTAAGGATTGTCCTAAGGAACTGGCACAAAGTATAGTGCTGCCAAGGTTCTTAGATTACCTCTGGTGAACACGCAGTTCACAATAATTAATGAACAGCTAGTTAAAGAACACCTAATAAACACTTAGTTCCAGTATTACCCAGTGAACACTTAGTTCAAAAACACTTAATTAACGCTTAGTTCTAATACTACCCAATGAACACCTAGTTCAAAAACACTTAATGAATGCTTAGTTCAAATATCTCTGATGAACACTAAGTTCAAATATCTAATGAACACTTAGTTTGAATATCCCTGAATATCCCTAATGAACCCAATCACCTAAGGAACACAGAGTACGAAAGCTCTTAGTTCAAACAATGTAATAATAATCTACATCTCAATCCTGCAAAACCACTAATATTATAAACACATATAAATCATATTTCTAAAACAATATATCCCATCCCGTCGATCCCCACATACTGACCCTATACAATGATCTTACGAGATCTAGCCTAAGAATCGATATGAACCACAAACTGACGAAGCTGCTTTGGAAATTCCCTTGCAGCAAACGAGGATCAATAATGACATCAAATGAGGGGAATGGAATAAGTTTCACCACGAACCTTCGTTCGTAAAAGAAAGAACCACAAGACATTTTAAGTCAGGGGTAGTTATCTAGATAACAATTTCTAGGCGTGGTCTGACTATCATGAGGTATTATACCCCCAAACTCTACCTATCCCAGCATCGAACTTTGCCTAGCAGTGGCCTGAATACAGGAGGTATTTCACCCCCAGACGCACCCTATCCAACAATATAACACCAGACATACCTAGCTGTGATTTGTTACCGACACACTTTATTAGGCAGTCTACGAAGTTCCCTTAATTACTTCGTGAAAGAAAACGCTGACATATGAAGCTCGGTCGATCACTTCATAAAAGAAACGTTGACTCCAAAGCTCTCTCAAAATAAAAGTATGGGGAAATACTACTAGAGTACTCCCGTACGCTCCCGTAACCGACATACAAAATTGTCAAAAGGAATTTGTACATGATAGTACTTCTGGCACATTATAGTACTCTAGTATGCGAAAGACTCGTATCCGAGAAGATAATAGTACCCTGGAACAAGCAGCACCCAAGACACATAGCTTTGAAAAGGACTTCGTACATAAAATGTACTTCTATACGTAGGACATACTCCACTGATCATCAATCTTACAACACACGTACTCTTAATATGAGGCTACCCAATGTCCAAACTTAATGGAACTAAACATCCCTATTTAAGTCTTAACCCATCACTAGGCAAGCCTACAATGCTTATAATCAATTTTCGATACTAACTTCGTTTAGGCAATGCTGACTAGTGTATACTTAACATAGAGTTTTAAGTAATAATATCATATATTCACATCTTAACACATATTGAACCATAACTGATTCGCACGTTGTATATAATCATATATATCTAAAACGTATATCGGACAATAACAAATACTTCACATACATATGTATATTTCATACTTTAATCAATACTCGTATTAAAATCATGTTCCTAAAAGGACTATACTCATGATACCTTATCGAAAGAACACGTAGTTTAATAATACATAATCCGTACTCATGGATCTTAAATTTTCCTCATTACCTAATCCATATTCCCGGATCTAAAACTAACCTCTGATCCATACTCTCGGATCTAAAACTAACCTCCTGATCTGATCCATACATCTAGATCTAAAACAAGTTTATCTCTTTATACTTTTATCTCATGGTCCAATTCATCTTTTATCACATACCAACAATCTTATCTACCCATGTTCTACCCAACATATTTGCAAATACAAAATACATATACAGTTTAACTCATTAAAACCTATATAATTTATCCATCCCACAAACATCTCAAATAAGCAACAATATATATATAAACATAGCACGTATTTCATAGCAAATACTTAATATTAATGTGTTAGAAGAAAGTAACTATACACTCACATGATCAGAAGATGATCGGACAACACTACGGCGTGCAATGGTAGTATTCTTTGGTGAAACCGGGATCACTTCACACACCGGGTTTCTCGCGGGTAGAGCTTCGGCTCGAAAACTCTTTTCTTCTCGGGATCTTCGGACATCGGGACTCGCTTCGGGTATCGGGATGATATCGGGGCTTCGGGGGGTTAAAATAGGGCTTAGAGGGTGTATCGGAAGTGGGAGAGAAGGGATGGAGCAACCATAATCGGCTGGGCCTTCAAATCTATTTATAGGGTAAAATTTGCCCTTGCCACGTCGTGGCAACTTTTCCACGTCGTGAGCTTGATTGTCATTGCATGCGTCATCGCAAGTTGCATCTGGGGGACTCTAGGAGGCGTCAGAAGACTTGCCACATCATGACACTGCTTGCCATGTCGTGGTATCTGACAGTTTTGGGGTTTCGCGCCCTGAACTTCAGAAATTCATAACTTTCGCATACGAACTCCGTTTTCGATGTTCTTTATATTAACGCGTAGGAGAGATTATGCTCTACAACTCTCGTTTAGACTCCATTGGCTATTTTGACTTTATTTTTAATATATTATAAATATATTACTTATATATTATTTTTAGTAGGTCGGGACAGGAAAACTCCGTTCGAAATTCATAACTCCTTCATCTGAACTCCATTTTCGTCTGTCTTTTTGTAGTTGGACTACTATCGACGAGATCTTCAACTCTTGTTTAGATTGTTTTGGCTAAAAAACCGTTCGATCTCAAATCGAGTATTCGGGTTGCATACCGCTAAGTCGAAACTTCGGAAAATCATAACTTCCTCGTACGAAGTCAGATTTGGGCGTTCTTTTTATGCACGCTCTCGGTTTAATGAAATCTACGACTTTCGTTTATATCACTAAGGATAAATATCACTCTAACGTAAATTCACTTTTTACGTCATTCAACGTCGTGCCAGTTCTATCACGAAACTTCGGCAGGTCATAACTTCTTCGTTATAACTCGGATTCTGGCGTTCTTTATATCTCCGGAATCCTTGTCACGACCACTACAACTTAGTTAAGATTATCCACCCTAAATAATTTTCTACCAAAAAGTCATTTGTGATGCTTATCATCTCTAAATTGTGTAACATCCCAAAAATACGACCCAAAATTTTTGTTTAAGTAGTAATAAAAATCATATACTATTTGTCATATCATAAAGACCATGTGTCAAATATCTCAACTAATAATAAAATGTCGTGAAACAACTGTATTAAATCAAACTACAAATCAACAAACTCCCAGGATAAAGACTGAAGCTGTGGTGTGTGCGATGCCATCATCCCAAACTCTTCCCCTTACTTGCAGAAGTACCTGAAATCAAAACTAAAACTGTAAGCACGAAGCTTAGTGAGCTCACCCAAACTACCACACACCATACAATAACATATAAACACGTACTGGGCCTTGCCCACTGCATCGGGTCGAAGCCCGGAAACTGCATCGGACCGAAGTCCGGAACTAACTGCATTGGACCGATGTTCGGAGCTGACTGGGACCTTGTCCCCTGCATCAGACCGAAGTCCGGAACTAATTGCATCGGACCGAAGTCCGGAAACTAACTGAGCATAGCATAGGATAAACTCATATCAACTAGCATAACACACATGATCATAGACTCATATACTACATACTACGTCAGGTCGTAGCCCATAACACCTAACACATAAATCCTGTCTGAGCCACGAAGGCATCAAACACACTAACAACTGCATCGGACCGAAATCCGAAAACTACTACTAACTAAACGGGCCGGTATTATGGCCTTAGACCCGTTTCTATTGGAAGGAAACTCACCTCGTAGCCTAGCTGCTGAAAGGAATGCTCTGGAACCTATCTGTTGCGTCTCCGGTTTCACCCCGGCTACAATATCCATGAGCACCATTAATCAAATACTGTTAATAACAATACTGAGGGTAAAATGACTCTCCTACCCTTGGTCCAAGTCAACCTAACCATCAAAGTCAATATTCAGTTGACCTGACTCATTGAGTTGGGCCGCCAACTCGTCGAGTCCTTACTCTTACTTCCTTGATTCCACTCGCTACTACTCGTCGAGTTTTGGCGCAAACTCGGTGAGTTCCTCTTCACTACTAACACTCTGACAATCTGCATCTGAC